TTTAAAATGATCTTTCTTGAAATGCTAAGATAATTGTTCTATGAAGCGACCAAAAGACCAAAGAGGAAACAGAATTTCGACTGACTATTACAAACCAGAATGAAATGACCTCTCCAAAAGATTTGAATGTGTCTAACTGAACGACGGCTGAAACTATAAAGTCTATAAACTCTATAACCATCAATTCTCGCAGTAAAAAAAAAGTCGTATTGTTCATCAATATGAAATAATAACGGCAAAAATGGTCACATTTGGGACGCCATTTCCTTTGGCTCTTACATATACAGATGCAAATTAACTGACAACAACTCTTGAGTTCCAAACGACTAATAGCAAAACAGTGGAAAGGCAAAAAGAGGTCCTTGTTCAGCACAGGTAAATAGTACGTGAAATTTGGGAGCCATTATTTAGAATAGCACCGCACTGTACATTTCTACTATAACTATATAAAATAAAAATATGAACAAGATACTGTTGTATACAAAAGGATCGAATTTTCAGGGAACGGTAGTTTGCATGACAAATAATATAAGAGTTAAAGATTGAACTTTGTTTTACAGATACAAACAGGACACCAACAAGCAGCGGCATTAGTGAATCTCGTTGACAAAGATTGAAGAAAGAGTTGATCCCGTATTCTATAATCTTTCCATTTCTTCAGTGAGCTTCTCGATCTCGCTTTCGTATTCTGATTTTCGATTAACTTTTGCCACCTGATTGGGAAGTGGAATGATTTCACCACTTTTTATCCGCTCCTAAATATGAAGGAGCATATTTTGGAACAACAAAGCTAGTTTCTCAAATTGAGAATAAAAAAGAAACTATATTGTTGTTATCAATACATGTATATGATTGATGCAGGTTAGACTAAGACATTCGAAGATGCTATTTTTCTCAAACTATGTCGCTACCTGTATTCAAAAGGTAACTCTTACTCATTAAAATAAAACTTACTTCGAGTTTGGCTATTTCCGTCAATTTTAACTTGACCTTGTCAATTTTCTTCTGTATTTGTTCTTGTGGTGTAATAGCCGCATTTGGTTTGAATACAGCTGAAAAAGCTCAAGTTCATTAAAAAAAATTTTATGATTTTTTTCTCTAAAACCTGCTATAGGTTGTCGTGGTCCTGCTGTAACCTGTTTCATTTCACGTGGCGTCATTCCGACAACGACTCGACCTCGACTTGCAACAGCTGCTTGCGTGGGATTTTGGTATTTCGGCTGCTCTTCTTGAGGAATGTAACTGAAACGAATGCTGTTAAAATAGCAGTCTCATTTAGACTTAAATTCCTGACTCTACTGAAGCTTTCTTGAAAACGCTTTCAACAAAGCTTTAGAACTGCGTGTGCAAAACTAAGGAATGCGCAAAATTGTATGCCTTGAGTGGCTGCATATAAGTAAACCTCGTTCGTGACAAAAGTTCTGATTTAAAAAGGAAATCACAGTGCGTGGACGCTTATTGGATGTTGCTAGAGTTGCACTATGGAGAAAATTAAGAAATTTCAGACAAAAAAAACGAGAATGGTCAATATTCGGATGTTTGTGACCTTATAAATACCACTTTTATTATCGAGGGAAAAAAGGTTGCAGAAATGCACTCCTCATATTTGACTGAGCAACAGAAGTTCCCTTATTAGACATCGTTCCACCCCATTTGAGCGATCAAATGGACTTTTTTCTGGGTAGACCTTGCTTGCGACGATAACGGATTTTTTTGACAACATAAGTGAACAGGTCAATTTTTAAATGTTTTAAGACTTTTAAACCTATGTCCAAGCAGGCAGCTCATTAGGGTGGGTAAAGGGTAGTGTATGTGTAGTGGTTTAGCAAGAATCTGACACTTTGTTAAGCATGACACCTGGTAGATAACAAAAAGGAACAAATTGCAAAGAGAATGTTAGAGCAGAACTGGGGTAACGCGCAATGTTTTCCTACATATCGCGAAATTGCATGTCTCAGTTCTAGCCAAAAAATTGGCTGAGATATAAGCTCCATCCCATTCATCGTACTTATATGGTTTGTCGACAATCATCCAACATCCTTTCAAATATCGCGTGCTATTCCTCAGCGAAAAAAATGTTCACAAGTGTGAGGATGTTTGAAGCGTCTACATTTCATGGAGAAAAATTCCCTTGCTTTTGGTGAAGAATGTGAAGCTTCTTGTTGGCAAAGAGTGTAGAAACCAGCGAAGGATATTTCGTCAAAAAGTGCTGGTCGAGTAATATTTATCCTTACAAAGTTAAGATAAAGACGAGATGTCATGGTAGACAAGCTAGTAGTGCGGCGTAACTCACAGCCAAAGAATTTGATGAAGCTTGGGAGAATGAAGATGTGAACAATATGAAGAGCTAAAAATAAAGAGCACAGGGAGCAGGAAGAGCGGTGAGTTGAAAGCGTTCTAACTTCTTTCAACCCCAAATGCTCACAATTTGGTGCCATTTGTTGTCAAGTACGGATTCATTTTGGAAAACTAATTTATATGACCGACAATGTGTTATAATAGAACTCAGGAAGGAAGGCAACGTGGGTCAATGTTCCAAAATATATCGGCCAACATAGCAAAGCAATTAGAAGAAACGTATTTTGAAGGAATTGTTGAATACTTTCATGATGTCGAGAAAAGAGAAAAGTCTCCGCATTTGTTTGCTTTACCGAATTGAATATTTGACAGAAATTCAAAAATAATTGATTTATAGAACAGAAATGCGCACGAAGGTAAACATAGTAATCATCTAAATCCGGTAAGACTTACCCATCCTTTACGCGGCGTGCTTTCCTCCAAGTCCCATCTGGCCTCTGTGTTGCAGCTATGTATGTTTCTCCTAATGTAGCACATTTCAGGAGAAAAGTGAAAAAAGATGGTAGCAAACCAACCTTGAGTAGTCCTTATGCGTAAATCTCCACCTTCTTGCTTATCGTTCGAAGCAGACATCTACCCACTGTTTTGCACACTATAACTTTACCAGTTGTAAGGTAATGTGATCAAATTATCATGGATCGGTAGTTAACCATGCAGTAGAATTGTACGGAATTCCGGAACTTCTTAATATGCAAATTTTTAGACAAGTCAATTGTTTATCCATTACGAATCTACTACACACTAGAAAAACATCTACATCTATCGATAACAGAGATCTGCCGAGGAAATGTTGATCAAATAAAATGTTGCATATC